GGTGCCCGACGGCGCCGCTGGTGTAGTGGTATCATGCAAGATTCCCATTCTTGCGACCCGGGTTCGATTCCCGGGCGGCGCATGCGATTTTTGGCTTTTCCGCCCTTGGTTGCTTCCTTCTCCGCTCGAAGGACCCTCTCGTGCTCCGCGGAGATTCCCCAAGGACAAAAGCCCATCGTTGGGCGAGCGGGACATTTAAGCAATGTCCACCGCGGTGAACGCGCGGAAGACGCCTGGACGGACAGGCGGCCTAGAGTGGCGCTGAGGTGACCGCGGAGTGCGGCCCCACCTCGTGGCCGCGGCCCCGGGGGGCTGCCCGCGGCCGCAGTCCCTCGACACCGCCCCTGGGCGTTGCAGCTCGGCGAGGCCCCCAGTCAGGCCGCGCCTCCCGGGCAGCCGCCCAACACACGGCCCCCTGGGAGCTGTAGTCCGGAGCCACCAGCGGCCAAGCCACACCCCCCGACGCGTCTCCTGCGACGGGCAGCGCCGAACACGCGGCGCGCGGCCCCCTGGGAGTTGTAGTCCGGAACGGCCAGTGGCCCGGCCGCACTCCCCCGCGGGCAGCGACGCCGCAATGCTGGTGGCGGCGGCCGCCGAGCGGAACAAGGAGCCCATCCTGCGCGTGCTGCAGCAGTACGTGGACCCGGCCCAGCGCGGCCTCCGCGTGCTCGAGGTGGCCTCGGGCTCCGGCCAGCACGCCGCCCACTTCGCGCGGGCCTTCCCCCACGCCGAGTGGCAGCCGTCCGATGTGGACCAGCGCTGCCTGGACAGGTGCGCGCAGGGCCCCATCTGCGTGGGCGGGCCGGGGCCCCACTTGGGGGCCGCCCCGAGGGGCTGCGGCCCCCAGGCCCACGCTGCCCTCCCGACAGCATCGCAGCCACCGCTCAGGCCGAGGGGCTGGCCAACGTGAAGGCCCCGCTGTTTCTGGACGTGACCTGGCCCTGGGAGCAGTGGGGCGGGATCCCACCGCGCTCGCTGGACTTGCTGCTCTGCATCAACATGGCGCACATCAGCCCCCTGAGCTGCACCAAGGTCCGTGCAGCTCGCAGCGGCGTCCCCAGGGGGCTGGGCCCTGGGGGCGGGGGGCGCGGAGCTCACCAGCGCTGCCTCCCCTCAGGGGCTCTTCCAGGCCGCGGGTCACCTGCTCAAGCCCAAGGCGCTGCTGGTCACCTACGGGGTGAGCGCCCTTCCCCGGCACAGCCCTCCCCACCCCTTTGGCTGGGGGGGGGGCCTCGCCCACACCCCCCCAGTTCTGGCGGCCAGCCGCCTCCGGGGGTGACGGCCAGGCCCTGTCCCCACAGCCCTATGCTGTCAACGGGAAGATCTGGCCTCAGAGCAACGTGGATTTCGACCTGAGTCTCAGATGCAGGTCTGCAGGGGGGGAGGGGAGGCTGCTGGCGATCGCCCCGCTGACCGCTGCCCTCTCCCCACAGGAACCCAGAGTGGGGGCTGCGGGACACGGCCCTCCTGGAGGCCTTGGGCCAGGCCAGCGGCCTTCTCCTGGAGCGGATGGTAGGTGGGGAGGGCCGGGCCGGGGAGGCCTCCCACCCGGGCGCCTCTGCAGCCAAAGCTCTCCCCCAGGTGGACATGCCGGCCAACAACAAGTGTCTGATTTTCCGGAAAGAGTGACCGGCCCTCTCGCCTGGCTGGTCCCCACTCGGCCCCCCCTGGCACCGGCCGGGACCACCAGCCTCTGTCTCTCTGGGCCGCTGGCCTGGCCCGGCCTGGGGGCTTCCCGGTGGGCGGCCACGGGGCTGCGGGGAGCCTGAGAATAAAGCCACTGCCCAGCCCCAACGGGCGCGCGCC